ACATATAGTGTAGATTTTCCTTTTGGCCTTATCTTTGCTCATAAAAAGACTGAGGAATCTGTTTGCTTTTGCTTTCTTGACATTTGACTTCAGTCATTTTCCAGCCTTTTGGACTCGATCATTTGACTTTTTCATAACTTGCGAAACATTGTAATAACAAAAAGCATAGCTGGTTTTTATAATAACTGAAAACAAGGTACAGTAAAGGATGCTTGAAATGAGCAGTTTACGTCTCTCACCACTAGAGGGCTTTCAATGTGTTTTCAACTGCTGGGTTATGAAGACGTATTTTTTCATTTTCTCTTCCCGCAGCAGGAGACGCTGGAGTTTATTTGTGTTTGCATATTTGAACAACAAAGCAGTTCAAAGTGATTTACAGCATAAACATATCAGACAGCCACCAATTATGACGCAAGCAAGACGCATTACGTTTTAAATGCCATCATCAAAACTGTCAAGCAAATATAAATGAAATATGTTGATCAATGATCGATCCTTACTGCTAATCAAAGGTCGTCACAAACAGGTGAGGCTTTAGCCGTGAATTAAGGGAACTGTGTTTCAGCAACATTGCAGTTTTCTGGAAGTTTGTTCCAGATTGAAACCCTTTCCAAGGACTTGTCAAGGTCAATCAGAACCAATATGGTCCATTTTAGTTCTGATCACCTGACTCTGACATCAGCTGACAATTGGTACTAAAATCCAAGTTTGTGTTTTTGGTTTTTTTAAGAGTCTGGACTTCATTTGTTCATCAGTAGTTCAAATGTAACAGGACAAAATGTGATCAGTAAATGTCAATTATTTAATACATAATTTGAAACTTTAATATCTCTTTTTGTCTGTTCCTGGGAACAAATGAACTGCACTTTGAAAAAAAATTGGGGGGCATTAATTACCATAAAAACTGGTAATTAATTAAACCGATCAACATATCCATTGATTAGTTGAAAAAATGAAAGAAAAGAAAAGTCAGGGTGTGACTTGGTACAACTCTATTCTGCGTTTGAAGACCAATAAAAAGGCACTTACGTCAAAATAAAAAAAATACAAAAATCCTGCTGTAATCTCTGGTTCAGATTCGCGCAGTAATATTCGCTGAAGGAAACATCACACCACCAGTAACTTTCTGAGACATATGGAGGAGAACTCTGCAGGTTTTTACATCCTCGACATCAATTTCCCAGTTCCGCGCGTTTCTTTCCCCCGGTAATAGAACATCTATTAAATGAACATAATAGATGTTCATTTAATAAAAGTGACGCAGAGACAAATGGTGACGGCTGCTGAGGAATGTCTGCCTCCAGAGCTGCCGGGTTTCGTTCCAGAGTGGAGGGAGAAGTGACTGATTAGAATAACACCGACACTGAGTCCAGATCTCCGCCGCGGCTCGCACGTGACCGCCAACTCCATTTCTCAGCCTCCTGGTCAGCAGGACGTTTGATCTACCGGGGTTTCTTCAATGTGAATGGCCGTGTGTGTGTGTGTGTGTGTGTGTGTGTGTGTGTGTGTGTGTGTGTGTGTGTGTGTGTGTGTGTGTGTGTGTGTGTGTGTGTGTGTGTGTGTGTGTGTGTGTGTTCACTCACTCCCCCGCGTGAGGTTGTGTGGGAAGCAGGGAGGCAAAGGAGGGAATCTCTTGTATTAATGGTCGCGGTTAACCTGGAGGGTCAAACCCATTGGAGCTGCTGATGGATCTGGTCTGCAGGAGCTCTCACTCTTTCCCTTTCTCTTACACACACACACACACACACACACACACTGCAGACCTGGCTGTACGATCACCAGTCGGACTGCGATGATCCCGGCCGGGCAGAGATAAAGGATGGTCCAGAGCAGCGGGGGGAGAAGACGTGATGCATGGAGGAGAAGATCATCAGGCTGGACCTTAAAGTTCCAGCTGTTTGTCAGAGATTGAATAGATCTGAAGAAGTGAGAAAGCTGGACTGGCTTCCTGTCTGAGGTGACAGTTAGGGGAAGAAAATGGTGCACATGTCGTGGTATTTTAGTGGCAACCAGGTGATTTCATGAGGGAAATCATTCATCCACGCTGGTATCTGCAGGAAAGGGAAACGCTGAGGGCGCCAGCTGTCCAGGGGCCAAAAGTTACATTTGTTCTTTTTGAAATCTTGCAGGTAGAAATATAACTTCTTAAAATCAAAGATTCTACAGTAGCCTTGTTGTACAGGAAATGATATTAAATGCTACAATTAAAAATAATAACATCACCTCCAATGGGACAACATCACCTCCAATGGGACAGGGTCCAGACCTTCACGCCTCCAGCTGATCAGATTAGAGTATTTTCAGCATTTCAGTATTTATAATTTACGCTTTGGTGAATAAATGTTTCTCTAAACTGAAAAGGAAAACGTATTTAGTGCAGGCATAAGTAAATTGCTGATGTAATGGGGCAGGCACCAATTAAAATCTCGCAGAGCACCACAGCTGCTTGGGCCGGCCCTGTCACCAACATGGACTTTATTATTATTATTACCATCAATTATTGTTATTATTTCTTACCTTCAGTGCCAAACAAATGTATTCACGTCTCTTGAACCTTTTACGCACAATAATACGCAACATAGGCTATTTCTTGATATTTGCCGCTGCTTGATGGGAAGCGTGTAGCCCATAAAACATGGACATCCACCTAAATGGACTGGCTGGACCTGGAGAGTCTTTATGAAAGAATAGCAGTGGGAAAAAGTCATTGTTGGAGGGGAGCAACGGAACGTTTTCTACGGGGAACATTCGTTTGGACACCACCGCTGAACACATCGTCTCCTCTGTAAGAGCGGTGGCAGCATCATGCTGTGGGTAAACGGACTGGAGTTGAAGATGAATGGAGAAAAAAATCCAGGAAGGCTGCCATCACACACGGGGTTCAGCTTCCTCATATGACCAGAGCGACACGGGACCGGTTGAAATCCCAGCATAGTCGTGTCTTAGAATGGCCTAGTCGAAGTCCGGGCCTAAATTCAATTGAGAATTCTGCCCGTTCAATGTTGAGGTTTGCGCTGACATTTTCTGTCTGCAAATGTACAAAGCTCATAAAGAAACATCCACAAAGAATCGCAACGTTCAAAGCAGCGTAACGCGGTTCTACAAAGAAAAGGCTTAGCGAATTATCAGATGCATGCCGCACATTTCAGATTTGCTTAAGAAAAACAACAATGGGCTTTTTTTCGGCCTTCTGATTATTTTCTGTTATTACTTTGTGTTTTTCTGCCACATCCAATCCAACTAAAATACACTGAAGTTTATGGTCACAATGTGACAAAAAGTATAAATAGTCAAGGGGTGTGAATACTTTTCTGCAAGGCATTTTGTTTCACACAGTGCTGAACACTGGCCAAATAAAATAAAGTCATCAGATTATTTAAATTTATTTTAGAACTGTAAAACTCAGAACTCACTGCATGCATGAGTGAGCTGAAAAGGACAAAGTGTAACGGAAAGATAAATCACTTATAAAGCCGTCTTAACGTTTATAACCCATTCGTAGATTAAATTAAGCTCTCCACCAAACGCTACAACTTTCTCCGAGTCAACTATTTTAATGGTGAAGCTAAATTCATGACGTCCACTGAAAATCCTCTCATTTCCGTTGTGGGTTTGCGTTGACCAGGTACCCAGTTCTGCCCCGGTTCCACCGGAACGTCCCAATCAAAGCCCAGGCGCTGTGACTGCACCCGGACGGAGCGCCTGGTTGTTGCGGGTTAAAATGGCAGCGAAGCAGGAAGGACGTTCGGAAACAAGGTCGTTTCCAATCCGAGGCATCTGATCCGAGTTACGGCACTAATTGAATCAAGGCCGACGCTTCCACGGACAGGGTTTCCCTCTCAGCGCTCTCCTCCGACTGAGACAAAGGCATGACGTCAGAGAAGACAGACCAGGAGACGTGCTCTCAATTACAGGCCCACGTGATCAGAACCCGAACCGCAGCTCCTGCCAGAGACGACGCTTCAGAAGGCTGACCGGGTTCAAATGCGTTCAGTTTGTCCAGTGCTGCCGCAGTGAGAGTCTGCAGGGTTTCACTGCACTTTTACAAAACTTCAACTAAAACTGCACACAGTGCTGCATGTATTGACAAAACTACCCATTAATTAACTATTAGTGTATATCTGCCTCTTGGTTCCATGAGTACTCCTTCAGATCAGATGAATTAATATTGAACATATTTTCAATTTGAAAACTCCTTTAATTTGATTGATACAATTGTTTATTTCAATAAGTTATTTTGAAATTTCTGTTTATTTGTCTAGAGAGCCACATAAAATTGTACAGCGGGCCGCATTTGGCCCCAGGCCTTGAGTTTGACACATGGTATAACTGTTTTTAAAACTTTTATTATTAATCATTATTATTATTAACAAAACAAACACCTTTTCTGACCTGATCACATAATCCCAGGGTATGTGGTTTTGGTCGCCTCTTGGTTTTGTATCTGAATTATTTTGTGTTGCTGATTCTTGTCGTTAATGTTGTTCCATACTGGTTAACCTGCTTTGTTTAGATTGTGCCCTGTTCAGTGTGTACTCAGTTAGATTCTCGTTCCTGTGTTAGTTTTTAGCTTTTAGTTTCAGTTTGACCCTTTTTCACCACCTCTAATCAAAACCTCTGTCTGATCCCATCATTTAAAAATGAAACACTCTATGAAAACATGTCAGGTAATTTTATTTGATGGCAACTGTAGCTAACTCTTAACGTTAGCCACAATTGCCAATAAGTTCCTACCAAATTCCTAACATTTAGAATCTGTTAGTGGCTAATAAATGTTAGCTAGCATATATCAGATTATTTCATAATGTGGTATTTTCCCCATTACAAAATATATATCACTTGTGTGTAATTTTTAATATCAGTCAATCCTTGAGCCTGATTAGTTCAGAAAATTGCAAATGTGTTTTTTATTATTTGGCCTTTTCTGTCCCTTTTTGTGGTTTAATTTCAGCTTGTGTAAATCTTTATTCTTTCAAACAAAAAACAGAACAGTTCCAACATGAAGTGACATTCATTTATTACACGTCCACAAACACATTAAAACACATACAGTTCCAGAACCTGCCTGCGTTGCCTGCACTGTGCCATGCAGACCAAAGGCAGACGATAGGGATTCAGAGCTTTGCTACAAAGCACACAGACACGTTAGTACCAACAGTCGGTTCGCTTCACTCCCAGTCCGGACCTCAGAGGAAAGCTTTTTCAGACCGGCTCCAAAAAGCGACAGAATGCTCACAAATTCTGTCAAGAGACTTTGGGATTTTCTTTCTTTTTTTTTTACTGCTTCCTGTTGTCCTTCTTTACGTCTCGGTCATGAGGAAGTGACTCCATGACCTCGGCGGAGGAAGACTTCATGGCGGCTCTCACCTCCGCAGATCACAGGAGGTCAAGTAATGTTTGTTCTGACCGGGAACTCAAACACGAACAGAACATCAACACGGGAATCATTGAAAAAGAAAAAAAATAATAATTCATGCCTGTTGAGCTTTTTCACATTTTTTCCCCCCACAAAAACATTAACAAACTTCGATGTTTTTTTCCACTGGGGATTTTGTGTGATAGACCAACACAAAGTGGTGATGTGTCAGTAGACTGTCTCCGCATATTTCCCAAATAAAAAGATCGGAAAAGTGTGTGTTTGTGTTCTGGCCTTTTGACTTCATAATCCTAAATACAATCCAGTGCAACCAATGTTAAGAAGACCTGAAATAACATAAGAAAGTGGTAACAAAACCTGCAGATACAGAAATATCAAAGAGGATGATGTGGTCAAATGAAACTGAAACTCGCAACACACAAAATCACTTTTTAAAGTTTTAGATCGACAATGAACATTATAACACCCAAACTGTTAAGGAAGAATTTGAAATATTTATCAAATTATTGGCGTTTGCACTCACCCGTCTTAAGATTTTGAAAGTCTTGAAAAAAACTTAATTTTCAAAGAAAAGGTCTCCTCATAAAAAGCCCAGACTGTTTTAAATGGTTTAATCAATTGGGGAATTAATAATTATATGAAATTCCTAACCACAATAACAGATGTGAAAATAGCATCTGGTAAGATAGTGGTGTTCTAACTTTTTGGTCAAATTTGTCACCTTGAAATCACAAAAATAATTTCTTGTGGCCTTTTTTTGATTGCACTGCAGGTCTGACTGATTCCTTCCTTTATGGTCACATTCACTGTAAAATCAAGATGAACGCATAAACCTTAAATAATAATCATAATCAATTTTATTTATAATGTGTGAAACTTGGTGGGGTTTTTTGCTGCAGTGTGAACATCCAGTGAGCCAGTATCACGCCTGCCACTGTTTTTCCGACCCTCCATTCTACTATTGGGATGTTTATGCTGCTTGCATAAACACCCCAAATATTTCCTTTAATAAGTTTTTATTTCTGCACTTTAGACAATGCACGACTTGGTGTTGATGTATCACATGGAATTATACATCAGAGTTTAAGGTTCCGACAGAAGAAAATGTGAAAAAGATCAAGGACTCTTTAAAGGGGCAGGATTATGTGTATTATGTGTTTTCCAGGCACATTGTCCCATTTTATAGCACAATGAAGTACCTATCTTGCCTTCAGTTGTCATAAAAATCCTATATACATCAAATATGACTTGAAATTTGACATACTTTAATGCCTTGAAATTAGGCTTCTGTTTCTTTAAAAACTCTAGCTCTTTCTGAAGCTCCGCCTTCAGGAAATCATCACCTCATCACTCCACTTTTAACCTCTCAAACACTGTTTTAACCAGCATTGCACTGAGAGGAAGCTTGTGTAATGAGCTCAATAGATGCCCAGTTCCACCAAGTGTTTACTAATTACTGCTGGCTAGTCTGAAGGAGCTGAGTGAGGGAGGGCTGATCTGTGCGGCAGAAGCTAAGAAAAGTGCGGCTCAGAGCTTCGTCTGGAAGTTGTCGCTCGGTCCCCCCAGGGATTCTGCACAGCTCAATGGTTGCTATGGTGACCAAAGGATTCCTCAAACGCACATGAAAGAATCAAAGCAACACTCCTGGTATGTCATTACAACATGATGTTAAGCTGAAAAAAGTCAATGTTACATAAAACTACCCCTTTAAACCGTCCTTCTGTCGTTTGCTAACAACTTTCCTCAATGCCATTTCCTCTTCAGTCAAACTTGAGCTGAAGTTTCTCCTGAAGCCGTATGGACCCGTGAGTTAAGGCAAATTTTCCACGTCTACCTACCTACCTACCTATGTTCTTCGGGAAGCTGGAAAGTCCAGAAACAGTCCGTGCCCTGTCTCTGCAGGCGTTCCGGTTTCAGAACCTCTGTTGGGTTCACATGGCCCAGGAGATGTTGGCGGCGTGCTCCTTGGCCTTCATGCGCAGCACGGCGATGCTGGACGAGCGCCTCTCGAACTCGGGCTTGGCCTCGAAGGCAGGATGGCCGTTGGCGGCCGGCGTGAGGAGGGAGTCGGCGCCGAAGAAGTTGTTGAGGGAGACGTGTCCAAACTGGTTCTGCTGGCCGGCGAAGCCCACGTAGCCGTGGTCGGCGGCAGTGGAGGCGGCGGTGGCGCGGGGGGAGTGGGAGTAGGAGGTGACGCATGGAGGGGACCTCCGGGGCAGCATGCAGGAGGACACCACGGAGCCGCCGGGGGCCGCGCTCGGCCACAGATTGTTGGGGATCTGATGGGAATAGTTTCACATTAAATCCACTCAATGTTGACATTTTTTCTAAGGAAAACAAAAACAGCTAAATCGGAGAAATTACAGCTTGAAGTTTATTTTATTTTAATCTGAGATCTTTACATATCAAAATCCACACTGCAATAAAAACATGTTCAATGATGAAGTCTGAGACTTTAAATGTTAAAGAAGGACTAGGGGGGCACCGATAAGTCGGACCTGATTTCCTTCATTTTGGGAGGCAATCCTTTGTACCTAAGAAAAGTCTGAAAATCAAGCTCTGTCCCTGGCTGCTCTGCAATGACAGATGTCTGGCTGTTAGCCCCGCCTTCATGTCTGCACATTTGCAGTTAACAAAAGTCACCCCACTGTTACGAACTCAGCAATTGTCTTGCCATATTTAGCAACATTTCAGACAAAAAAATAAATAAAACATTTGTATTGGAATCAGCAGGTCAGGCTTTTTAAAGGTCAGTGATCAGTGATCGGCCAAAAAACTGCAATCGGTGCACCTCTTAGAAAAACCAAGAGGCATTCATTAAGAAAAACGGCAATTTCTGGTCATTTGGTCCAAGTTCGATGTTGACATTCCTCATTTTTATTCCACATTTCCTGATTCAAACAGGACAATCTTAGAAGTTATAAAATGCTATTGATTTATTTACATTTACCACAAAAATGCTCTTTAAGTGGAAAGTCCTGGTCCTTTTTCATTAACTTTTTTTGAGTGACAAAATGTATTTATTTGTTTATTTATCTATGTACTTGTTTGTTTTATAGGAATATGACGAGAAATAAAATGATTGAATCCGTATTTTCACAAAACTGTGAAAATATGTTTTAAATCTTTTCACCGCAGGACCGGATGATAACATCTCTGAAGATGAAATCTTGAAAAGTTCCAGAGTTACTAGCGGACGTGTTAAAAGCCTTAAAATAAACTCATGTTATGGCAGCAGCTCGATCTCACAATGTTAGAAAATATGTATTTGAGAACATTTATTGAGAAAGGGAACAAAAATCTATGTCCAGTATTTCTTTTCTATATATAAAATCTCAGATTTCTTTAAATCCTATTAGACAAAAGAAATGGCGGCATTTTGAAACCCATTCTTAACAAAAGTTGATCAGTGTTGAGAAGTTTCAATAAGTGATCATCCAAAAGTATAAATATGAAATACAACTCTGAGGGTAATTTCATCTAGCCAAGCTTTAAAATGAGCAATTCAGAAGAATATGCTGTTTAGTTAAAGTGCCTGCTTCTTTATCTGCAGAAAGATGGGAATCTAAGAGAAATTAGTCTCACATAAAAAGAATTTAAAACATTAGTAGTTCAAAACATTAGTGGATATAACCACAGCTGTACATGTGATTCTGCTACTGCAATAACATCTGAAATTATTATTATAATTTTTTGTTTTCACGTATGTTCACCAGGCGTACTAATAAATGTGGAGCATTCTGTGGTTAAGCTTCTGGAAGTTATCACATTCCAGAAGCTTGCAACTGAGCAAACCGCCATTCAACAAGATGAAAACTAGACTTTTTAAGCTACTCTCAATAATTAACTGAGCATAAAGTACTGTCTGAAAAACGGGATCAACTGTGTGTGTGACTGAATTGAAACGATTTTCTTTTATGTACCAAGCCTGACTTGCAACGACTTTTATCCTGGGCCAATGGAGTAACGGTTTGATGAATGAAATCTGCCTCCATGACTTCCTCCTGTGTCCAGTTCACTGACCAGACAAGTTGAACAGGAAGTGAAATACCTTCCATTTCTGGGTTAACACGCCCACAGTCTACGGTTTAAAGGTGGTAAAGGGGAAAAAGCCATAAGACAAACTCATTTGGAAACCTAAGGTTGCAGAAAAGTTCATCATGACCACTTCTAAGTTTAGCACAGAGGACAAAGAAGACATTTAGCGAGATCTCTGACTCGAGGCAGCTTGATTTGATGTTCCTCTGCCCGCTCCGATGAGATGACGGCTGAAACAAGATGACACAATCATGCATTTGCTCCTGGTTACATTGAGTCTAAATAAGGTATTTTAAATACGTAAAACCTTCTTACGGCAAAGACAAAAATGGATGTAAAGAAACACCTAAAGTGAAGGTTGTTTATTTAACACCGTCTGCCCCACTGTGGCTTCCAGAAAACAGAGAACACGAGCTAACCACCGTTTGAGACAGAGACAGCGAGACTAACTTGTTTCTGCAGGAACAATATGTGGTCGCAACAGAGGGATAATCCTGGTCTTCTAAAGGGGCCAGATGAAAACATGCATCACATTTGGTGAAATAAAAAAGCACAAACAGACCGGTCTACCGTCTAAAAGCTACAAGAACTCAGGATGGGTTTGAAAAGCAGATCCATAATTGGCTTCAGCTGTGCTAGTAAGGCTGGTATGTAAGGAAGCCCTTCAGGAACATTTGGGAAGAAAATGCGAGGCAGAGCTTTGAACGAAACGCTTCTTCTTTTCCAGTTTCATTTCAGAGCATCTTCATTTTAAAAAACCCGTAACATAGAGCTTCCATTTCTTTCTTAGAAAAATGTATTTTTTTTTTTAAAAGAGAGAGAGGGAAAAAAAGTTCCACAACACTTGGAACTCCTTTTGGAGACTCGGTGTCAGTTTGTGAGAGGGAACGCCTAACCAAAGGACAGACTGACACCCCGCGTCTCCTCTCACCTCATCTTGTACCTGACCTTTGCTCAAACTAAAAGATTAATGGTCGGCCGACATGAAATCTGATATGAGGGCCATTCATTCCGAGGTGACACCTCGCGGGGGCTCTAATCAGCGTTCCGGGGCTCTTATCTGAAGATGGCTTTCACTGGAAGTGATTCATGGCGAGTGAGCCGTTGACGCAAGTTGTTGTGCATTTTTGTCAGAAGTGAGCGGACCGAGGAAAGATCGGAGGCCAAGTTGGAGGATTCCACACAAAATAGATCCAGGAAGGAAAGAAATTGAGTTTTGTAGATAATTAAAGTTTAATATTTTTCTTATTATTGCTTTGATTATGGATATTAGTTTGTACATTCAATGTAAAACATTAAATGTAAATTTTGTTCCCTATATTTCTCGTTAGAATAGAATTGAATGAAATCGGTTCAGACAATCGTCATGTTTCTGTCTGACAGAGAACATAAAGATTGAGTCACATGAGTCCGATTATGAATCAATGTACAGTATAAGGCTCATACAAGGTAAGAACCCTCATTCATTTTGCAGTAGAGAAAGTTCAAATTAGCTGCAACAAATTTTTATTAAAATTTGGCTTACATCTCACTTTATTAGTTTTCCTCTATTTACTTATATGCCTTAATCCAAGCAAGTTGTTATTTTATTATTTTTTTTTTTTGTTTTGGAGGTTTTTGTGTACGTGTAGAAAAAAATAATTGGGTAAAATTCAACTAGTTTTGTTGAGAACGTGGGTTGAAATCTATCAAATAATATTTTACGTGGCACACTGAAACCATTTCGGCTCAGAAATAAAGATGAAAGTCCATCCCGAAGGACGTCTGCAAACGTCTTAAAATGGAAAAGTTGCTTTAATCAGAGGATTTCTTTCACTTCCAGTCCGAAACATAAAATGTAATAAATAAATATATAAAATCCCGCTGATTTAAAAGAAACTCGCCTGTGTGTAGCTGTCGGACCGGGGTAACACTGACAGGTCGTACGTGGCCGCGAAGTGACTCTTGGCCTGTTGGATCTGTCCGTATCGCTCCCTTTTCCTCCACTTGGCTCTCCGGTTCTGGAACCAAACCTGGCAGGAAGAAACGGATAAAACTCAACCTGCCGCGGCTTGAACCCACAAACTAAACGGTGTTGCTTAGAAAAATGACAAGCTAACAAATTTTATGTTTCTGTTTGTTTGTTTTTTTTTTTTTTTTTTTTTTTTTTGAATTAACGTATCTTGAAAACGTTCTTAAAAAAAAAAAAAAAAAAAACACTAAAGGTAAGCTAGGCCTCACCGTACCTGGACCCGGGCCTCCGTTAGCTCCGTCCTCATGGCCAGCTGCTCCCGCACGTAGACGTCCGGGTAGTGGGTCTTCTGGAACACCTTCTCCAGCTCCTCCAGCTGCGCGCTGGTGAAGGTGGTCCGGTGCCTCCTCTTCTTGCTGCTGGACACGTTGCTGTCGCACTTGTCCCCCACGTCATCCAGCTCGGTCTTTTCCGGACCGCTCGTGACCGGAGACGCGCGCAGGGAGCAGCAGCTGTCGATGGACCTCGCGAGATCCGAGCGCAGGGAGTCCTCGTCCGTTTTCGGAACTCCGTAACTGGCTGATAGGAGACCAAATTATTATATTATATTATATTATATTATATTATATTATATTATATTATATTATATTATATTATATTATATTATATTATATTATATTATATTATATTGTTTTAACAAAAAATAAAATTGAAAAAAAAAATTAAAAATATACATTTTCTCTCTAATGTACCCACAGATGCGCACCACCCAGTTCACAAGAGCGCAAAAAAAAAACAACAAAAAAAAAAAACAAGTTCCTACTCACCGCTCTGATCTCCGCAGGGCGATGAGCGGTGCTCGGCGCCCTGCAGACCGAAGGCCTGCGCGCACTTCGGGGACGGCTTGTTGAAGTACTGCGCGCTGTCCAAGCTCTCCATGACTTGGTCCATATAGTACTCGCTGGCCTTCATCGCCTGGCTTTTCAAGGCGAACTTATCCTCTATGTACTCCATCATGATTCCAATAAAGCGCTCCCTCTAATTAAATGTCAGCACCTATCAATATATATGTACATATAGATACATATTTATATATATAGCCTATGTCAAAAAAAATGTGTGTGGGGAGGGGAGAAAAAACGCAAGCAGAGGAGTGGAGAGGTGTCCTGTAATGCAATAAAGCGCCGATGGAGTTTTAATTTGCTGTGCGGTGAAGCCCCGACGTCTAATAGAGCCGAAGAGCAGCTCTGAGTTCCTTAAAGGTCCAGACGCAGACCTCCTCCTCCTCCTCAATGCACTGGCAAAACTAACGGGTAGAGTTTTATCAATAAATTTGGCCAACCAATTTGTGAATTTATTTTTTTTTTTGATATTCTTTTACTCAGTATTTCTGATGAGAAATCAAAACAGTTTAAGAATAATTTAATTGGTTAAGAAAAAAATATGTAACTAATAAATTAAATTTGGTAAATTGTAACTGCTCATTCCCAAAAAAATTTTTTTTGCTAATTTTCTGTTCTTTGTGTGTTAAGCTATAGAAGTAACTGTGAATGAGGCATTAAATTAGTGAAACAGAATCAAGCAATTCAAATTTGTTCTCTGACAACCAGTGGTTAAAAAGCTAACTGGCTGGCAAAGTTTTGAGTGCTAATGCTAATCTGTATTCTTGTTCCAACTCTGACTTTTTTAAGTCACAAATGTTGATGTTCTGATCTAATTAGTTAATATTCACTCATCCTCACATAAACTGACAGAGAGTCTTCAGTCAGAGGCTTTTCACGGTCCACTGTGACACAGACTGATACAGGACATCCTCAACAAATCAATCGAGGAACTTGGATCATGCGAGTTACATCTAAATTCCCCCTCTGGGATAAAAATTTTTTAGCTATTTCAAGAATTGAATAAAAATATTGATATCAAGATTGACTTCTATTCCTGAACTATCCCGTACTCGTGGGACTTTTTCACTTTTAGATTCATTGAAATCGTCATGTATCGGTTTATATCAACATATCGCTTCTGTTGGACAAACCAAGATCTCCACCTATATGCCGATAAAATTTTTTTTTAAATATTAAACAATTTAGTTTCAGAAAGATGCTAATAATTAATAAGCCTGATTGCGATTTAAAGTTGTGACGACTAAAACTCACCGACCTCTAAAGCATTTTTTTTTTTTTTTTTTTTTTTTTTTTTTTTTACAGTGCAACCAAAGCAGCGCGCCGCGCCGCACCGCGCCGCTCCTCCTCCTCCTGCGCTGCGGCCCGGGTCCAAAGCAAACAGCGGTTCGACGTGACTCCAGATCCGCTCCGAGGAAGCAATCAAAAGTGACTTTAATTTACAGCATGTTTAGACAGCCGGAACGAGGCTCTAATTCATCCCGGGCTGCAGGTTGCGCGAGAAAGCGAGGCTCGGTCGGTCGGGGACTCGCCAGCCGCCCCGCTGGTCGCTGCGGTTAATCGGAGGAGAATGAAAACCCAAACGAAAACGAAGCCGACAGGAGAATGTTCCGATTAATATGGAGCCGGATGGGACACGAGCCTGCGTGGAGGCGCTGCTTCGTCCTTGTCAGAGAGATTGAACTCGTCCAGCCTGGCGGTTAATAATCAAAATAGGTCTAAATATTGACGGGGGGATGGGGGGGGGGAGGAGAGGACTTTAGGAAAATGGAATAAATCGAACATTATTTGTAACTTCAGCTCTTTTATATTTTACTTTGTTTTTTCTTTCTAGCTGCTCTGAACTTTAAAGAGTCATTGTTTTGTTTTCTTTTAGGGGGGGGAAGGTCACAATATAATGAAATCTTTTAAAATGCAATCTGACTCCATGGAAATTCATCTGTATTTTGTTGTATTTTTACTGAAGCAAAGATCGCAGGGGGGTTTTTTAGCAGTGAATTCCTTCCATCCACTTTTTTAAAGAAAGTTTTGACACTTTTGTCCTTTTGATGCTTATATTTAAAAAAACGAAATTTATTTTATATTTGTTTCTTTTTGTTGTTGTTTTTTTAATGATTATTTTTTAAAATTATTTAGCCAGCTTCATTCCTGCTGAACAAAGTTCATTTGCTCTTAATTTTTCATTTCAGCCTGCAGAAATCAACTGGTGCATTAATGTACAATATCATTAATGTATTTGTTGATAAACTTATCTACAGCCAGCTGATTTTTGTGCTCAGTCAAAAGGAAAAAGCTGAACAATATTTTTTTCTACATTTTTTGTTTTTGATATTTGGTGGCAGTGATTAATAATGACATTTGACTCAGAAGAAGAATGCCTTTTTAATTGAAATTCCGTGATTTGGAAGCTTGAACACATCTGGTACTTTTTTTTTTTTTTTTTGCTTTAGCCTATATATAATTTTTTCTATTTTATTTATTTATTTGACTTAAATGACTGCGATAATAATCACTGACTTGCTGACTTATGTAAAAAAGAAAAGCAAAAACAAAAAACACCAATTCTAATGTGTGGTCATTGCTGCACACGGCGTCAAAAATTCAGCTTGTGCCTGAAATTCATCAGCTCCATGAATGACGCACCGGATCAAAGACGGAACATCCTCCTTCTGCATGCGCCGAATCCCCTGCAGGAGCCGCGCAAAGCCCGGGCCCTGCGGGGAGCCTCCCCGACCCGAACCTGCAGGAAAAGAGTCCGTCTGAAATCCTCTCTTCACTGGAGGAATTATGTTACCGCCGGCACCGCGGTGCGTCTCCCGGGCTCCACGCCTCCACGCCCCCGCGTGGCCCAGCGGGCGCGGCCTCGGTTCGCTGCGGGGTCAGTGGCGGTTACCTGGGGGCCGCTCGGTGCCACAGCAGAAGGTTTCAAAACAAATAACGAGGGAGGATCTGTCACAGCGAGCCCGCGCACTGGCCCACGCTGAGGAGAAAATGTGAAGAGTTCACCGTGGAGAGCGACGGGCCCCGAGTCTGAAGGGCCAGACATAATAGAGAACAAGACTGAGGCTGACTTTAACCAACAGGTTGATCACTTGGACTGGTTCTCCAAGGATGAAAAAAAAAAAAGCAGTAGCAGCTTTTTCACTAACCGTAAGTGAAATTTAAATTTGCTCAATGGAAACACAACTCAAAACACACACACGCACATTTTTCCAGAAAAAGTTTTCCCCTTCAGTTTTCCTGTAGTTTCGAAACAGACGTTCAGTTCGAAAAACTGCGACAGAAACGATGGTTTCTCACAGCAGTCACGTGACCAACAACCAGACGCTACTGCTGGCGTAAACGACGAAGACGACAGGAAGTAGCTGCAGCATGATGGATTGTTTTTGTCTTTTCCAGCACCGTGCAGCTGGCTGCAGCAGAGCTCTGACACACTTTATGAAGAAAAGTTGTTACTGAACATCTCTAATGTAAAAGGGGCTTGAGGTCCGGAATGAAACAAATATCTCTCTGCATGTAATTGTTTACATCCCATTGCTGTTCACTTATCTAGTGAACACGCTGACTCAGGTGTAATATTAATACTTTTGTTTTTTCGACGTTAGCAGGAAATAGACGAAGATCTGCGGACATTTGTGTTGGAAACGCAGCAAATTACTGAGTCCCACAGCGTTCAGCATCAAACTCCAGGAAATGAACGCTGGGTTCTGTCAGTTCTAATGTGACCCAACACAGTTCAGCCTGACCGAACCAGAGGAGAGAGAGAGAGAGAGCATGACATCACTGCGCCTTAAGCCGCTCTTAAGCTCTAATTGAATCTTCTGAAACGTCTTCAAACGTTGGCAAAAATCAAACCAGAGTTTGTTTTGCTCCTGAAGCCCAAACTGTGCAGAGTTCAATGAATCCTGCTTGAGACGGATTCATTCTCCCGTTTGACTTTAGGAGGAGTTTCCAAAAAGTGAAAGCAGCACTTTTGAACGTTCTTTTTGTTTGTGTTTGTCTGCCGTCCCTCCAGGAATGGAGCGACGTTCGTTGCCGACTGTCACCATCTCCCGTCTCCCTGGTGCCATCTGGGTTGGTGTTAATGCACAGCACGGGCCACAGAAAACCCACTCAACCCAGGGCCCAGGAGGACTACGTTAATGTCATGTTGACATATTTTGGAATGTTCTATTTAAAACAAAAAATAAAAATCTAATTCAAAAAGACTTTATTGATCCCAAAGAGAAATCAAATGTCTCTTCAAAGAGTTTCAGTTGACGCTGATGGCAGGAATGTTCTCCTGCAGCAGCTTGTACCGCAGCGAATCCAGAAAGGCCTCTGACCCCTTGAGAAAATTGTTCGTGCCACACCGATTGGCATCACAATATTTCAATCAAATGCTGAAGATTTTTCTTAAAAAGTAGAGACCCTAAACTCTAACATTTCATAAGTGAACCATGGCTTTTTGTTTCTCTGGGTTTGTCCATGAATTGACTCAGAAACCAAATTATTCAGAAAACGCTAATTGCCTAATCTTGCTCATGATTCAAAAGCCTGAAACAAATCCAGTATGTAACTTTTACAAAAATGTCTTTTTTTCCCCCGTATAATTTAAAACTGTCAAAAGATCAACTACTGCCTGAAGAAACGCATCGCTCTGACCTAAAACAACCAATCGGAGCCAGGAGGAGGGACTTAGCGCTGTCAATCAGTGCTGATCAATGTGCTAATGTGTGAGTATGCACACCACCATGAAGTTTTGAAGTGAAGGGAAAATTTAAATTGAAAGAGAATCTAGACTAACTGTGAGCTTAACATGGATCATTTTAAGTGTTTCAACAGAATTCATTTAAAGAAAACAAATCAGCAAGAGTAAAATTTGAAAACTATGGTGCATGAAAAGTCTTTATATCCTTTTCGTGCGGACTATTTCAATGACAGAACATGGATATGTCATTCATAATCCTCCCACACCAGTGTGTCGTCGTTTGATGAAAGAGTGATCTCTTTAAATTTCAGCATTAAATTAGCAGCTGTAAGTACACAAACAAGAAGAAAGTGTCGAAAGTCATTAGATGTATTTCAGGGTTATATCCAAGAATCCATGGGCAGAACACAAGTTTTGATTTAAAAAAAAAAAGGTTTCCAGGAATGTTTCTGGAAACTACAAAAAAGAAAAAAAGAATGGAACGAATTTGCAGCTGAACTTAAAACCACATTGAGAAGTCTTTTCATCCATTTGGAGGTGTAACTTTGAGTAATTTGAATGCAAAGGCTCGACGAGCTACACTTAAA